TTGGCAGCTCGCGGGGCTACGCCCCAAAAGCTGGGGCACAAAAGCTTTGGCACCTCGAGATGTGAAGCAGACGCGGTTGGATTCGCAGCACCCTTTGAGGCACGGAGCCGGGCCGGCCTTTGCACATAGAGCAACTTGGCGGACGAGCCAGGCTTCAAGGACTGTCTGGAAAATGGGGGGGGGGGTTGGGGGATGAAGTGGCATCAAACTGGGTGCAATCCAGGATCCAACTGACTGGCGGCAGAGAACCTTGGACGAGGCTTTGGAAGAGCAGCAAGTTCGTATCATGCAAATAATTGTTGTTGAATGTCTGCCTTCACAGGTGGAAACCAATTCGGATTGGCAGAGTTGCATCAAGGCCACTACGAGCGGTTTAGCCCTCAGGATCTGTACTGCAAGGCTGATCCCAGTCACGGGCATCACGCAAGCCGCGTGGCTCTGAGGTGCAGCGACACGTCTTTCAAACTATGCTGCTCCACAAGAACTAGCTATGCCATAAGCCTGGACCGCGATGAGGACTACTCTGGGGAGTCTTGTTCATTGCCCGGCGTAGCATAGAGCGCTTGCGTTTGAGTCATTTTCCAGTGATTTGGCACAAGCTGAAGGAACCGCCACGAGCCTGAGCTCTCGGCATGTCCCGACTGTCGACGGCTGCGGATAGCGCCATGGAAGACCTGGAAGTGTGGGATGAGAAGCCGTGCCTTTGCAAAATGCAGCTTCAGCTTGTTCAGTTCTTTAGGTCTGTTCCTACCCAACACGCGGAAGCTCCATCTACATGTAAGGTATTTTAGGCTGGCATGCTATCTAGCGGCTCTCCGACGCCACGTAGTTCGGCATCTCACCGCTGGAGGTGCTGCTGCGGTAGGTCTCGACGCTTACGGACGCGTACTCAGCCAGCAATCGCGATCTCGTCACAGCCAACTGCACCAACATCCGAGCGCAGTACCTGTTGCTCCAGGCAACCTGTTGTTCAGACCGAGAGTGGTGATCAACTTTTCGGCATTAGGGTGGCTGGACGACTTCATCGAGACGAACCCAAAGATTGTGGCCAATTCAGGCACAGCTGCATTGTGATTGCTTTCACATGTGCTGCAGGGTCAGCAACGTGTCACGCTTTGCAGGCCCGACCGCGTCTGCGCCTTGCCCTTGCTACCTCCACTGACCTCGTCAGTCTGCAGCGGGGGCTTTGGCTGGGCTATGTACACTGTCAGACAGAGCACTCCGCAGATGACACCTTCAGAACCCCCAAGACTTCTAGGCTAGGTGCTTTATCAACCTGTTTTCTTCCAGGCCCCAAGACAAAAGCAGCATGTGTCCCCACAAGAAGATGTATGAACACAACCAACCAAAGGCTCTTGACCTGGTCGTTTTCGTGCCGCATGACGCACGCCTGAAAACGTCTGTGTTGAGTTGCGGGTTATCCTGGAGAGTAATTTTGCATTCATCTGCGCTGCACAGGTTTGGAGAAACCAGGTTCGATCACGATGGGTCCTGCAAAGCCCATTGCGATGATAGACCAAGTTTAGGGTTTGGGGGAATATACGAGCATGTGATTTATTTGGGTTTCGCTCTATCTAGACTGATATGATGTTGATGCCACTGGTCCTTTTATCCGTGGCTCAAGTTTGATCCTTGGAACACACAGAATTGGTAGTTGGGGTCCAAGCTGATCGCATGACCAGTGTAGCCCGCGATGTGTTCAGCAAGCGAAATCCTGCCACGCAGAAGCACATAAGCCTGCAATATTCGCTGCAGCTCGCAGTTCCACCACCTGACAAACACAGATAGCCGCAAAGTTCGAGTTCCTGAACATGGCATCTGAATTGCGCGATGTTGCGCAGGCATGGTTTTGTACCATTTAGATCTAGACCCCCGAATGCCTTCTTGCTAACAATGGAAGCTTGTGCAGATTTCTGGCAGGCAGACCTGATGTGGGCCACATACCACAACAACAGGGAGTGGTGTCAGCCCTAAGATTGACGCGAGCTCCCCACTCTATGCCAATTTCTGATGTGCCAAGGCTGTTCCGAACAGCCGAAACTCTCCGTACCGAACTTGCGCAGGGCTTGGTTCTTCTGGAGTGTCCCGGACATGTTTGGAATCTTGGAAGCCTAGCAGCCTTAATTCAGAGCTTTACCTCTTTGTTCTAGCAGCTTCCATGTGTAGAATACAGCTGGCATGTTAAAATGGCTTTCCATGTGTTCAACGTGCTGTGTCCCCAACACAATGCCAGGACATACAATGGCACAAGGCCAAGCTTGATCCACCTGATGGAACGGATAGGGAGGCGTACCCCTGCACCAATGCGCTGGACATTTATTTTGTTTCACCGCTGCCCATCTTGTTGAGGACACAGCACCAGCTCCGCCGCTTGCAGCGCATCGAATCACACTTGCAGCCAGGCCTTTACTGCCTCCAAGAAGGTAGTTTCTCTAAATAAGAGGACCCCAATATAGACCCCAATATACTATAGTCCTTATTATAGGGATCCCCAAAAAGGTCCCCCCAATTTTGAGAGCAACCCAGATTTTGCACTGCTGTGTTGCACCTGACGGCAGGCACCGACATGGAGGCGCGTGCTATGCCAGACACAAATCGGCTGTCACCATCAGTGACCAGATTAGGTATCTACTGGCGTGCTATTGCGTCCAGGGGTTGCGCCGCAGCATCGATGCCTTCCTGAAGGCAAGGTGCAACACGAGATTAGCTTTACCGGAGCGCTTCACACAGCTGTGCATGGCGAGGATGGCCATGCCGAGCAGAGCCCTGGCATCTTGGCGTTCTTTCGTATCTGGATTATGTTGTTGTCTCTCGCGGCTTTTGGCTCGTGTTCCGAGTGTTTGCTGCCTCTCTTTGCTTCTAGTAAGCCATGAAAACTCCTGAATTGAATGTGGCTTTAGGACAGCTAGGCCGCCCAGCAGCGGAAGTAAGGCACCATACAGCATCCAAGAAAGCGCTGCCTGAATTCGCAAACCAGGTACGCTCCATCTGCCGGTGCTGGGGCCATTGCATTTTCAGGAGCTGCGGCCTGTAATGCAGAATGTGAGATGTCCCCCAGCGACAGTGCAATCAGGGAAGTGTGGCTTACAACAGAATCGCTTTGAGCCACGTCCTCAGCACTTGTTAGATACCCAGCTCAAGGATTGGGCTTCAGCCTGAATAGGGGGTTCGCATCCACAGCGGGTTTCGACAGCAGGCGGACTTCATGTTCATCCCCGAGCTCCTCAAGTTCCCTCGCCCTCGCATGGCCCGGATCAGCAACAACTTGAACAAAGCAAGGGCCCATGAGATGTACAATGTACATCTTGCAAGCTGCTTTTCACGCGTGCTTTCATGGATGAAGTACACTCCCCAAATAGCCCTTGCCTCCAAACCGGCTCCTCATTGCAAGCAAGAGTTCAAGACAACAACAGCCCGTTCACCAGGTTCCAACTCGTCTGGCGCTGCTTCTACGGTCACAGAGGCCCAAAGATGAGCGCTTCATTGACGGGGCAGGCAGTTGAGAATGGTCACGCGTTATCTGCGCCGGCAGAGCTTCACGGGTTCTGTGGATCAAACTCCGTCTGCTTCACGTCTCGAGTTGCCACAGCTTTCGTGCCCAAGCTTTGGACATAGCGCCGCCAAACAACGGCCGACGATGACAATGACCTCCGAGCAAAGGTGGTCTTGCGGCAGCCAAGAAAAATTCAGTCAAATACAATTGCATGGGAATCTTGTTGCATGATTGGCGTCGTCGATATCACGTGCGGGACAACAGTGGGAAGAATCTAAGTTTCCATTTTTCCATCATACCTATATATAAACCCCAATATACTATAGTAGCTTCCATTTTATTCTCCAGTATCCCCATATACCTTATATAACCCAAGATATATTTGACTGAGGCATCAGACTGGGGCTTCCACTGGCAGGACCTGGCTGAGGGCTTGCGCGTCGCAACTCGCCTGATAGGCATAGAGAGGGGTTTCCCAAAATCAGGGGTACTCATTTTGGGGGTCCATATAACAAGGACTGTAGTATTTTGGGGTCTATATTGGGGTTCCCTTATTTTGGGAAAATAACAGAGGGCTTTGGGACAAGGCTTTGGAAGAGTAGCTCGCTGGTATGATGACAAAATAGTTGCTGTTGGCCGCCTGCCGTCACAGGTGGAAGCCAAATTGGATTGGCAGAGCTGCATCAAGGCCACTAGGGTGGGTGGCCTTGTAACGTATCAGCCTCAAGGTTTGGAAATGTAACATTTGGGTAATGTAGGGATCAACTTTATATAGGGGTTATATAGGGGTTATATAGGGATACTGGAAAAGAAAATGGAAACTACTATATAGTATATTGGGGCTATATTGGGATGACGGAAAATAAAGTGGAAACTACTACAGTATATTGGGGTTATATAGGGAGAATGGAAAATAACATGGAAACTACTATACTGTAGTAGGGGGTTATATAGATCTCGCCTTGCAGAGCTGTTGAGTCATTAATGTACCTCCTGGATTTCAACCCTTCGAGCTTTAGATAGGAGTTTCTCAATATGACCCCTATATAATCCCTTAAAGCGGGCCCTACATAATCCCCTTATAATCGCTCTATACCCCTTGGGGTCCCTAGGGCCCCCCCTTTTTGAGAAACTCCCAGATCCCGAAGCCATTTGGCTGAAGTAGCAGCCGAGCTCTTTTCAGCAGGCGGAAGTTCTTTGCACGTCATGTGCGATTGGCCGGAGAGTCCAGCAACTGGGTTATATATACCCATTATGGTATCTTAAACCCTAGATACCTTATGTACTCTATATATATATACCCACTATGGTAACTTAATTTAAGCCCTAAACCCTAAACTCACCTGGAGAGCGACTGGCTGCCTGCCAGCTCTTGCACGGACCGTGCTAATCAGCATCTTCGCAGACTTGTGCTGCGGAGAAAAGGTCCCACAAGAAAAAACCTAAACCCCTGAAACCCTAGGCAAAGATGGGTTGGGACGTGGTTGGCTTCGAGGGCGTTGAGCCCATGGACGTGAAGCCGACCTCTGGGGAGCCAGTGGACTTCCTGCGGTGGCTCAATGCACGCAGGAGAGGGTTTCCTAAAATCGAGGGGTACCTACTGTAATGGAGAATCAAATGGAAAAGAAAATGGAAAATGAAATGGACAATGGGATTATATAGGGGATTATATGGGGTTTAGGGTTTCCTAAAGTTAGGGGTACCTTTTTGGGGGTCCCAATAATAAGGATCTATAGTATATTGGGGTCTATATTGGGGCTCCAAAACCCTAAACCCTAAACCTTATTTTAGGAAAGTACCAGGAAGTGCAACCTGGAGCTGGTGGACGGCACCTTGCTGAAGGGCTACTCATTTGGGGCTCCGGTCTCTGTGTCTGGAGAAGTCGTCTTCAACACCGGCATGGTGGCCTACCCAGAATCCTTGACCGACCCTTCATATGCCGGGCAGATCCTGGTCATCACCTATCCGCTGGTCGGAAACTATGGGGTGCCATCGGATGAGAAAGATGAGTTTGGACTTCCCAAGTGGTTTGAGAGTGACAAGATTCACTTGAAAGGAGTTGTGATCTCCGACTACTCCTACGAGCCATCGCACTACAGCTGCATTCGAACTCTGGGGCAGTGGCTGGAGTCTCAGGGCATTCCGGGAATCTATGCTGTTGACACAAGGCTGGTGACTAAGCAGATCCGCAAGACCGGCTCGATGTTGGGAAAGCTCATCGTGCAGGGCAGCGCGCCCAGCTCCCAAGTCCCCATGGACGACCCCAACACGCGAAACTTGGCAGCAGAGGTGTCTAGAAAGCAGAAGGAGGTCTTCACGCCTTCCCAGCTGAACTCTCGGCTGAACCGGGAGGTGGGTAATTTCCCAAAATAAGGGGGACCCCAATATAGACCCCCAAAAGACTATAGCCCTTATTATAGGGACCCCCAAAATGGTACCCTTCATTTTGGGAAACCCCCAGGTTCACATCCTGGCAGTCGACTGCGGCATGAAGAACAACATCATCCGCTGTTTGGTGAAGCTCGGGCTTCGGGTCACGGTGGTTCCATGGGACTATGACTTCACCAAGGACTGGGTTGCTGTTAAGGAACTTAAATTAAGTTACCATAATGGGTATACATAGTAACTAATAGGGTTTCCCCAATATAGTAACCCTAAACCCTATAGGGTTTCCTTAATTAAATTCCTTAACAGCAACCCAGAGGATAGCTTCGACGGGCTCTTCTTGAGCAATGGTCCTGGGGATCCCACCATGTGTGCCAAGACGGTGGAGCATGTGCGCACCATCATGAAGGAGCTACTATTATTGTCATTATTGCTACGTTTATTATTATTACTACTATTATTACTAGCAAAACCTAAACCCTAAACCTTATTATTATCATGATTATTGCCGTTATTATGATTACTATTACTATTTTCTACTAGGAGCGCCCGAAGACCCCAATCTTCGGCATTTGCCTTGGGAACCAGATTCTGGCCCTGGCGGCCGGAGCCTCAACTGACAAGCGTCCCTTTATATTTTAGGTAGGGTTTAGGGATTAGGGTTTAGGGTTTAGAATTTAGGGTTCAGGGTCTAGGGACTAGAGTTTAGGGTTTCCATTTCAGTTTCCATTTTCTTTTCTATTTGATTCTCCATCATAGGGTCCTTAACAGCAACCCAGGAGCCTCAACTTACAAGATGAAGTTCGGCAACCGCGGCATGAACCAGCCCGTGGTGGACCTACGCACACAGAGGTGCTGCATGAGCTACGGACTAAATTTAGGTTGGGGGGGGACCTATTGGGGATATATAGGGGGGTGTAGGGGTTATAGGACTAAATTTAGGGTTTAGGGTTTAGGGTTTAGGATTTAGGGGGGGACCTATAGGGAATATATAGAGGGGTATAGGGGGACCTATTTAAGGGATACACTACAAATTTAGTCCAGGTGCTACATCACGGCGCAGAATCACGGATATGCGGTTGACAATGCAAGCTTACCAGAGAGCTGGGTGCCGCTGATGATGAATGCCAACGATGGCACCAACGAAGGCATCATTCATTCCTCAAGGCCTTTACATGGTGGTTTTCTATGGGAACAATGGAGAAGAAAATGGAAACTATAGGGATTATATAGGGGTTATATAGGGATTCTATGCGGTTATACATATATATATATACACATAGTAATTTCCATTTTATTTTTCATTATCCCTATGCAACACCAACCCTAAATCCTAAACCCTATACTATAATATAAGAGCGTTCCCATTTTTTCATTGTACCTATATGGTACCCTTTTTTTATCGCTCCAGGCCTTGGTTCTCTGTGCAGTTCCACCCCGAGGCGTGCGGAGGGCCCACGGACACGGACTTCTTGTTCGACTACTTCCTGCAGTTCATTGCGGAGCCGACCGCATCCCCTGTCACTGGGTTGCTGCTAAGAGACTTAAATTAAGTTACGATACGGGGTATATATATATATATATTGTAGAGTAAACAATAGGGTTTTCCCAATGTAGTAGCTTGAAATAAGTTCCTTAACAGCAACCCAGGTGACTACCATGCCTTATTCCATTCCCACCGTGTACAGGAAGGTCCTGGTCTTGGGATCGGGGGGCCTTACCATTGGGCAGGCTGGGGAGTTCGACTATTCTGGCAGTCAGGCCATCAAAGCCTTGAAACTTACCGGAGGTTAGTAGGGAATATGGGAATATACTATAGAAGGATTATATAGGGATAATATTCCCTTATTCCCTACTACTGTAACCACCAGTAAGGAAAGAGGCAGGAGTCATGTCTATCCTCATCAATCCGAACATTGCCACTGTGCAAACATCAGCTGGCATGGCAGACAGGGTCTACTTCCTGCCAGTGACGCCAGAGTTCGTGATCAAAGTGATCGCGCGTGAGAAGCCAGATGGGATTTTTGCCGCCTTCGGCGGGCAAACGGCCCTCAATTGCGCTGTAAAGCTGCACCAGCAAGGCGCTTTTGACAAATGGTACTTTCCTTAAATAGGGGGACCCCAACATAGACCCAAGAATATTACAATCCTAATTATGGGGACCCCAATAAGCTACCCGCTGATTTTGGGAAATCCCCAAGGCGCTTTTGAGAAGTACAATGTCAAGGTGCTTGGCACCCAAATCGAGGCGATCATGAAGACAGAGGACCGTGACCTGTTCAGCAAGGTCGTGGAGGCTTCTGGGTTGCTTTTAGGGTTATATAGGGTCTATATAGACTATATAGGGCTATATAGGGGTATATAGGAGTATATAGGGATAATGGAAAAGAACATGGAAGCTACTATTTAGGGTTTGGGAGAAAAACTCAGGCTTGTGGCGAGAAGATTGCGGAAAGCGCCTGCTGCGACTGCGTGGGCGACGCCGTGGTTGCAGCCGCGAAGATTGGCTATCCGGTGCCTTACTGGTCCTTAGGGGAGAGTGGGGGAGTGGATCCTATACTAATCCCCCTATATACCCCTATAAAAGTACCTATATACCTCTATAAAAATCCCTATATACCCCTATAATAGTCCCTATATACTTCATAAAAATCCGTATACTTATTCCCCCACCAGTAAGGTGCTGGTCCGTGCCGCCTACGCCCTGGGTGGCCTGGGCAGCGGCTTCGCCGACAACGAGGAGGAGCTCCGACGCCTGGTAAACGTGGCCTTGGTGAACAGTCCCCAGGTGAGCTAGGGACTAAATTTGGTGGGGGGGGGGGTTTAGGGTTTAGGGTTTAGGGTTTAGGGACTAAATCTGGGTGGTGGGGGGGTTTAGGGTTTAGGGTTTAGGGATTGAATTTAGGGTGGGGGGCTGACATATATTATAGGGGAGAGGGGTATTTTGCATTTAGGGGTTGGGGGGGGCTACAGGGGATATGTAGGGGGGGTATAGGGGGGGACCTATTTAAGGGGTATACTACCAATTTAGTCCAGTCCTGAGGTGATCATCGACAAGTCGCTGAAGGGCTGGAAGGAGCTGGAGTACGAGGTGGTGCGGGACAAGAACGACAACTGCATCACCGTTTCTGGGTTGCTGTTAAGGAACTTAAATTAAGTTACCATAAGGGGTATATATATATATAGGGTTATGTAGGGATAATGGAAAAGAAAATGGAAGCTACTATTTAGGGTTTAGGGTTTAGGGAATTAAGTTACCATAATGGGTATATATAGTGATTTATAGGGTTTCCCCAATATGGTAACTTAATTTAAGTTCCTTAACAGCAACCCAGGTTTGCAACATGGAGAATTTTGATCCCATGGGTGTCCACACAGGTGAGTCTATTGTCATCGCGCCCTCGCAGACTCTGACGAATGCCGAGTACTACCGCCTCCGCCAGTGCGCGCTGAAAGTGATTCGGCACCTTGGGATTGTCGGGGAGTGCAATATCCAGTATGCCATGGACACGAAGACATCTGAGTTCCGCATCATCGAGGTGAACGCGCGGCTGTCCCGAAGTAGTGCTTTGGCGTCAAAGGCCACTGGGTATCCGTTGGCCTACGTGGCGGCGAAGCTGGCGCTTGGGCACGACTTGGTCCAGTTGAGGAACAGCGTCTTGGCTGCCTTAGGCTCTTAGGGCTTGATTTTTGGGTTTTCCAAGGGAAAAAAGAATGGATTCGAAAGTCAGCTAAGGCGTGACCAAGTGCACCACTGCATGCTTTGAGCCCTCGCTGGATTACTGCGTCGCCAAAGTTCCACGCTGGGACCTGCAGAAGTTCTCCACCGTGGACGCCCGCATCGGGTCAGCAATGCAATCCGTGGGCGAGGTGGGGGTTTTCCACAATTAGGGGTACCTTATTTAGGGTCCCCATAATGAGGATTATAGTATTTTGGGGTCTACATTGGGGTACCTTAATTTTGGGAAACTACCAAAGTAAGTTACCATAACATAGGTTTGGGGTCTATATGGGGGTCCCCTTATTTTGGAAAACTACCAGGTCATGGCCATCGGTCGCACCTTTGAGGAGACCATCCAGAAGGCTCTACGCATGGTGGACGATGCTGGGTTATGTTAAGCCCTAAACCCTAAACCCTAAATCCTAAACCCTAAACCCTAAACCCCTAAACCCCTAAACCCTAAACCCCTAAACCCCTAAACCCTAAACCCTAGGATGCGAGCCTGGGCTTTGATCCGATCCGCTACGACTTGGAGCTCAACCGGCGAGGGCTGCCCTCCTCGGGTCCCAACTTCGAAGTGGAGCTGAAGAAGGAGCTGTTTAGGGTTTAGGGTTTAGGGTGGGTTTAGGGTTTAGGGAGTTTAGGAAGTTTAGGGTTTAGGGTTTAGGGAGTTTAGGGTTTAGGGTTTAGGGAGTTTAGGGCTTAGGGTTTAGGGAGTTTAGGGTTTAGGGTTGGAATTGTTACTACTAGTATTGGTATTTGTTCTTATTACTGTTATTTACTATTGCTATGCTTGTTGTAATGATTGTTATTCTTGCTACTGCTGAAAAGGAGCTCAGCAGCCCTACGCCAGTCCGAATGTGGGCCATTGCCAAGGCCTTCGAGCATCTGGTTTGCTCTAAAGGAATTGGAATTGCGTACCAGAATGAATATACATATATATATATATACGCACAGTAAAATAGGGTTTCCCCAATATAGTAACTTAAAGAAGTTCTTTACCAGCAACCCAGGCATGGCATGAATGTGGAAGAGGTCCACACTTTGACCAACATCGACCGATGGTTCCTGTCAAAGCTACATGGCCTGCACATGCTCAAGGGCACCATGCGCTCTTTGGATTCTGGGTTGCTGTTGAGGAACTTAAATTAAGTTACCATAATGGGTGTATATAGTAAATAATAGGGTTTCCCCAATATAGCAACATAGATAAAGTGCCTTAACAGCAAGCCAGGATTTCTATGAGCTGCGCCAGAATCCGGTACTTCTCAGGGAGGCCAAGACCAGGGGCTTCTCGGACAGGCAGATCGCCGCCATCATCTCGGCGCCTGAGAAGATCCTGGGTTGTAAACCCCTAAATACCCTATATATCCTATATAGACCCTACATAAAAACTGTATATATGTATATATGTATATATGTATATATCCCACTATGGTAACTTAACTTAAGTTCCTTAACAGCAATCCAGGATCATGGACACTGAGCTCTCTCCCCATCTTCTGCCTGTGGACCATGGCTCCCAGCGCTACTCCGGAGGCCTGGGTCCGAGATTAGGGGTTTAGGGCTTAGGGTAGGGATGATATTGGGATAATGGAAAAGAGAATGGCAACTATTCTAGTAGATTGGGAGTATATGTTGGGATAAATGGAAACTACTGTAGTATATTGGGACTACATATTAGGATAATAGAAAAGAAAATGGAAACTACTATGTAGAGGCCCCGTGACCGAAGCGCATATCCGACACCTCCGAAAGAAGCTTGGCATCGTGCCCACAGTGAAGCAGATTGATACTTTGGCGGCGGAGTTCCCGGCCACAACAAACTACCTCTATGTGACCTACAGCGGAGAGGAGCATGACACTTGCTGTTGAGGAATTCAACAAAGTTACCAGAATGAATGGGTATCCACAATGATTAATCTAATATGGTTTTCCCAATCTACTAACTTAGATTAAGTCCCCTAAGCCCTTAATCCTAATCCCTAAACCCTAAACCCTAGTCCCTAAACCCTAAACCCTATAACAGCAACCCAGGATATCGACCTTGCAGGCGGGGACAGGCAGTGTTCAGAGGTGAAGGTCACAGAGCTGAACTTT